TCATGTGGGATTCCTCTGGGTGCTCTGGCTTCCTCCCACAGTCCAAAGACATGCTGGTTGGTTAACTGGCTTCCTGGAAAACTGGCCCTGGTGTGAGTGTTTCTTCACCAGACTGGGGAGGAACAGTGAGGAGACAGTGCTGCTTTGGTCAAGACCGAGGCTTTTATACAGAACTGACTGCTATTTCAACACAAGAAGAAAAGATACATTGGAGTAATTTCCCCACTAAGATTAAATTTAATATCTCTGTATTAAACTGGTGTAAAATGACCAGGGGAAGGGCCATCCAGGACAGGTATTTCAGGAACGACCTGCTCAATATACTCGACTTAGACCTGAGCAAGATGGCCGCCAAGAAAACCCAGCTGACCTGCAGATAGAAAGGGCGTATTCCGAAAAACAACGAGACACAGGTGAGTCTCGTCAGGAAACAAAATATAAATGCGCCGGAAGGGGGGTGAACCGGCGCGGAAGTTTGTGAGGCGATAGAGGAATCAGCTTGGTGTTACGAAAGGATTGAAGAATTATGGTTTACGGATTGTGGCTTTGATATGGCGCGGATTTGTGTTACTTTACGGACTTTGTAACTCAGATAGAACAAGGATTGAGAGAACGGATCACAGACTGGATTTGGAAGATAAACGGACAGGCGAAACAGAGTAAAACTCCACGGAAATTAAGAAAAAAAAATGTGGTGTGAGTAATTTTACGTAACGGAGATAACTTTTCCCCCGGAGACACCACACTGGACACAGTGACCTGACAGTGTCTGGACATCACTAATCACACACAGGACACACTGCTGTGGAGCTGGGCCAGTCTGAGATGAGTGTCGCTGTGTCCAGTTTAATACAGAGACAGCAGGGATATTGCATGAAGCACAGCTTTGCTTTTACAGCGGTAATGGGTTAAAGAAGAACAGCTGTTTTTTTGCGTGACTCCTATTTAAATGTTCATCTTAATAGGAAAATGACTCAAATGTATCTGTATCGTGTTGAAATAGCGGTCAGTTGTGTATAAAAGCTCTGGTCTTTAACAAGCAGCGCTGTCCTTACTGCTCCTTCAACATGTGAAACTGCCCCGGCCTGAAGCAGAGATACCAGTGAAACCCTCAGACACCTCCAGACCACACTCACCCAGCCCCATACAGACTGTTAGTTCTCACACTTCATTACCCCTGCTATCTACATCTCTATCTTTACAAGGTTTTGAAAAATTTGACTGTTTTTATTAGCGAGTTCAGGCTCAGGCCCTGACATTGGGCTGATAGTGAAAGAAGAATGAGAGAGAGAAGCACAATGAAAACTTTTTCTGTGTTGTTCACCAGTAACAGAATCGTTTCTATTTGAGGTGTCCAGTTCATCCTTCAGAACTCACTCATCAACGGCCAGAAATGCCATTTCGTGTGGAATTCTAAGATGTCGAGAGCTTGGGTGACTATACTCACTCAGGGCGGTTAATGAGTTAAAGATGAAAGAAATAAACCCAGAAGGTGTGGAACACTGTAGAGGTCAGGATTGATCAAATCAGCCAGGTTGTGCGCATATTGAAATGAGCTCAGGAAGCTGATGGTTCTGTCCTGCTGGGAATACGAATTCACTGGTTCAGTGGCTGCTGTGGTGGTTTGTGCTGAGTGAACTTAAAACTATAATGGATGCTTTGGGGCTCCCCTCTCTTTTACTTCATAAACCTGGGGTCTCCATCAAGACGGGTACAACAGGCGCCGTCCTTCGGATGAGACGTAAAACCGAGGTCCTGACTCTCTGTGGTCATTAAAAATCCCAGGGCGTTTCTCGAAAAGAGTAGGGGTGT